TCTGCCACTCAGTTCTCTGCACAGCCACAAGCCCAACAAGGCAGGTTTTCCATGTTGCCCTCTTGCTCCTCCCCAGGGGCCTGTGGAGCAGGGAAATCTCCAGGGGTGCCTGTGTCAGCTCACTGATTACCCACCAGGTCACACAGCTACTGAAATGAGACTGGAACCTGCTCTCACATACCAAATAAAACCGAGGCCAAGACAGATAATACAACTCTCTCTAAGGGTGAGAACTGGCCATGAACTTTTCACCAAAGCAACAGGGTTAGAACTGGTGAGAAGCACTAAAATAAAAGAGAATCTACACCAGCATGTCTCCTTGTTGAAGAAAGACAATGGAGAGAGAGGCTGTGGGGAGCTGCTTTTTTAGGTACACTGGAAAAAACAGTACTTGTTTTATGAAACAGATGAAAGAGGGCACCACAGCCATCACCAGTGGGTGTCTGAGAGCAGCAAGAGTAAAGGGGAATTCTGAAAAATGCTGTGCAAACACACACGGCTGCTATACTTTGCTAGGTCTGTAGTCACTTCCCTTCACCTTTGTTCGAGACAAAACTCTGTCCCCCAGATTTCTGACTCATTTGAAGAAATTCTTCCCAATACTTCAGCAATGCAGGCACTTTTCTGCAACAGCCCAGAGAGGTCCTTCAGCTCCTTGTAAAATATGCAAATCATGAAAGCCACATTGTTCTTCAGTATCAAATAATCTAATCCTGCCCACCAACCAGTTAACAACAGGACAGAAAAACTACCAAAAAAGCTGCTTTCAAAGGGAGCTCTTTGGCAATTCCAAGACAGAGAAATCCTCTGGAACAGGAAATCTACTGTCGCAAAGAGGGTGCTGCACAGCTTTGCTCACTCTCCATTAGCTGGCCAGTGGAGCAATAAAGTGACATGGGTTTCCAAAGTAAAGTTTGCTTTGGTGCCTAATCAGGCTTTACTCCACCTGAACTCCTGCTGACTTCAATGAGAGGGTAGATGGAGTGAAAAGTGAATGAGGACTTGAAGGTTTGGCCCTTTATGAGCCAAGATTTAAGTTGTAAACTTATTTAAAGACACAAAAATCTTTGCAGCTGAACTCAATGCTGTTTTTGAACACAAACCTTGTTTGTTTTCTTTGTGTAAATCTTGCATGTTAACATGATTAAATCTGCTGGGCAGGTGTCTCCTCATGTCCATGTTTGCTTTGGCACATGAGCTGCCCCTCTCACCTCTCCAAATTCATGAAAATTTAGTGTTAAATCCTGCCTTTTGTTACATGAGAGTGCCAGGGAGCCCCTCTCCCTTCCTGACCAAGGCGTGCCCATGTCACAGCTGGGCTGGAGTCCAGCCCAGCACTGCCAGGTGCCCAGGCTGGGGAGGGCAAGTGTGGGGGCTCATCTTCCACAGGCAGACAAGGATGGCGTGGGATCCATCATAGCCTCTTACTGCACGTTCACTCTCCTGCTTCTCAAGCTATTTCTGGAGTTGCCAGTTTTCCAGCTACATGTTTCCCCTGATGAATTCTCTGCTCTTGGAGTTATCTGACTCTGTGATCATCCCAGCTTCTACCAAACCTAAGTTTTCAGCTGTCCAGATGAGACATATAAAGGAATAAGAGCATGACCTGTTACAGCTCAAGACTATACACTGGCTATAATCTGCAAGCATCACTCTAATGCTGTTTGCAAGGTTTCTGGGACCCAGCTGTAGTGCCCAGGGTGCTGACACTCTGCCCTGCACAGACCAAACAGTCCCTCATCAACCACTTGCCTTGCTGTTCATTCCCAGCCATTGGTACGGCAAAAATGTGCACCTGCTTTTTTAGAGCAATACAAGCAAATTCAATTTTAGAAACTGTTCAAAGGGGCTGAGATTCAGAAAGATATAATAAGCACTAGTGAAGACATTTTTTATTAGCCCAGAAAAATGTGTCTAGCAAGAACAGCTGTCAGGGTGAAGATCCTCTGAGACAGGATATGCATATATAGGTATCAAGTGGCACACACAGCTCTCCCAGAACTCCTTCCCCAAGCACAGCAAAGACCCAGGTGGTATCTGCCCACATTTAGCAGCAATTCAGCTGAGTCACAGCAAACTGTTGACATCCTGTTGTGCAAGTCCAGGCTTTGAAAACTGCTTTTTTTTTTTAGCAGATTAGTTTTGAACATTCAGATATTGCACCTCATTTTTTTGTCTAAGGTCTAGGAAATGATAAAAGCAATTAGTTCCCTAAATCCTTCTCTTATCTGTAATTGGGTGTGACTTTTTCGTTGTTTGTTTGTGATAAACACTGAACAAAAACACTGTCCACTATGTAGGCCAGGAAAATAGACCCTTATGACAGCCAGCTTATCTTCCACAGCTGCCTGAACAAACCAGCACCTAAAGGGCATTTTTTCAGGAATGTTTCCAGCCAAGGACTCAGGTGACAGACTGACTTGTACAGTTTTTACACAGCTCTCTATTTTCTATTAGAAATGAGAGGAGTCCCATTACTTTCCCTTCCTGCATAGTGTCATATTGCCAGAAATATCCCAAGAGCAATGGGGCTGGGGGCAGGAGGGGAGAGCAGAGCACCTTAGAACACGTTTCCGCCAGCTTCAAGGAAATTTTAAAAAAATAAAGAGCATGAACCAGAGAGACTAACTGAAGAAAGCTCCCACTCTATTTCTTTCCCACCTTCACCCTTCCCTTTGGACAAGCACACGATTTCTAGCAGGTGTGAAAGAGCCATGGGACAAACAAAAGAGACAAAAGACAGAACAACTCTGAAGAGGAGTCGGGAGGCCACAACACAAGCACAGCACACCAGCTCCAAGCAGGCAGAGGCACTCTACCATTATCTAGTTCACAGATGGACCACCCAGAAAATCTGGGAGCAATTAGGAATGAGAACAAACAAATGCATGGAAAGAAAGGGGGAGGGAAAATGGGAAGGAAGGCCAGAAGGGATTCCTTACATCATCTCCATGCAAGCGTTTCGAGAATGAAGTGAAGCTATATGGAGGAGGAATGCAGATGGAAGAGTTTGCAGTGAGAATGCAATAAAGCAAAAGGCTATGAAAACATGGAGTGTATGAATGAATTACAACATGGCCATGAAATTTACAGAAAGTCAGGACAGTGTGTAAACAGAGAAGAAACCCATCAAGTTCTTGGAGACACAGACATGCACATATAAACAGATCAAATGCTGATTGTCGCTCTCTCGCTGTAAATAGCAATTCAACCCACCCTGCAACTCAGGGATGCACCAGGCACAAAGCTGACTCACGTTCCTCTCTGACTGTCAATAACTGGCATTAAATACTGGCAGGAAAACACAAATGCTTTGAACCAAGCACCAAGATAACCTCTCATAAATGCATGGACAGGAACCACAGCAACACCCAGGTGACCCATAGAGCTCATTACCAGAGCCATGTGCCTGGGAACAATCCGTTTTCTGCTGGTCTGGGTTCCACTTACCTGGCATCTAATCACACTATCAGTCAGCACTTTACAACACCAGGTTACACCTTTCTTGTTTGGGCAGACTTACCTGATTTTGGTACCAAGCACTTTGGCTTCAACTGACTTCAAAATGACTGCTCAACCTTCTAAGAACAAGGTCCATTATTTAAATAAATGCTTGATATTAAGTGCCTTTGTTGGTTACAATTGTGGCATAGAAGGTTGCCTTTGTTGCTGCAAAGTTTGCTTTCTCTTTTAAAATCATTTGATGTGCAGTTTGTGACTTTTGCTAGTGAGCACAATTTCTAAACTCTGTTTGCTGCATCCAAAATTGCAGCAGAAAAATGCCTCAAAAACTGAAGATACCAAGTGTTTTGAAGTGATGTTAATCAATAACACTGTGTTTACTTTGTCTCGGCCTCTGAAAAGCAAACTCTGGTCACTAAGGACATTTTATAAACACATTAAAATTCACACAAGCTTTTTTAAAAGCTTTTCAGTTTACCATAATCTCAGTAAATCATTGCCTGGTAATTTTCCCTAAAACCAGTCCTTATTAACACACAAATTCAGTTGAAAAAAAAAAAAATCTACTATCTGCTTGTCTTAGCAGCAGCTAAAATATGGCAATTAGTTTACCTTAGAATAGACATCAAAGGCTCAAAGGATGACCCTGCCCCAGAAGAACAAAATCTTTTAAAAGCCCTATTCCACTCAGTTTGCTAGTTTATAAGGTTTGCTAAAATCCAGTTTAATGATCATGAAGTTTCTTAGCAAGTCATGTGGTGCCATATTGTGTAAGGAACAGAAGAGTTAGTTCTAAAACCTTTTTGAACTTGGGGAGCTTTTCCGACCAGCTGATGCAGAACCACATTCTGAGATGGTAAATGAAACTGTTGGATGCAAAAGCCTCACCATGATTTTCTTTAGCTTCTTTCAGAAGAGACAAAAGTTCCCACACAACACATACTCTCTCTATACAATGAAAGGTTCAATAATAGCAGTATATTCAAGTCCATATGGTGCGGTTATAAGGGAGAGGCACAACGAGAAACTGAGAACCCTGAAGGCAAGAGACCTGCAAGCTCTAGTGAAAAAAGCAAAAGCATAAAAAAGACCCTTAAGGTGAAACCGAATAAAGTACTAGAGCACAATGGATTAAGCCAGTTCTCCTTTTAGCTGCAGTCTTTATATCTTGAGCTGCTGAGAGCTCCCTCCCCTGACATGGTTATCTTTTTGTTTGTTTTGTTGTTTTGGATGACATAACCAAGTGATCTCAAAACCAGTCTGGCTCAGTGACCAGGTAAGAGCACTACATGTTACCATGCAGGGGACTGAGCAGCACTTGCCAACAGGGCCTCACAGCAATAATGAAGGAGAAATGAAAATGGAAGGGCTGGTTTCTGTGGGGGGAACAGACACATATGAAAGGGAACAGCAATAAATTAATAATACAGGAGAAGAAGCCTTATTTGCCTGTCTACAATCAGATTTTAATGGTGAATGAGAAACAGGGAGGGGAGAGGAAAAGAAGGGTCTGGTTTAAACATTTAGCATAGACTTGCCTCTTTCCATTACTATCACGAAGCATGGCTTTTCCCAGCTCTCTTGTCTTTGTTTCCAACTCCTTAACTTGCTCCAGCAAAGTTTTACGGTAGGTATGCTTCGCCCTGTACCACAAGGAAAGGACAGAAAACAAAACAAAAAAGCCATGTGAACATTTGTTTTGCCACAAACCCCCAATTTTACCTCTCAGGTGAGAGGCACAGGGCCCTCCCTTGAAGGATTTGGGAAATAAAGCACAATGTATGCGTGTTAGTTCAGGTTCACAATACCTGGGAAAAAATACATACGAAATGAGAAATCATGACGACTTCAAATTAAACAGAGCCCAGCCACTTCAACCCAGCACTCAAAACCTACCCAAGCAGCAACACTATGGGACTACAGAGACCTGACACCACTGCCGTGGGACTGCTCAGGACCCGGGCACTCAGACAAAAGAGCTGGGATTCACTGAATATTCATGGCAGTAAAACATGAATCCAGTCTGTCTTTGGAGCTACGCGTGGCACTGCTCTGAAAACCAGAGGAGAGTCTCAGCTAATAATTGCCATTCAAACCCTTTGATTTTCATTTATCAGTCTCACATGACTGGAAAGGCACTTCTCTCCTCAATGAACTTCCAAACTGACAGTAACAAGACTGGCTGTGTCCTTCTACTTTCTTTGGTTTGAGGATTCAAAGAGTAACCCATGCACCACATATGCAATCAAAATTTCGAGTGCAATTTAGAGTCCCCCATGAAGAGACTTCAGCCTTTTCCCCCCCAGGTTCACCTACTGCTCCAGGGCTATTATACCTAAATTACATTGACATAGGGGAGACAATCTAGTCCCCTTTTTCTTGACCTGTATAAAGCAAGAATACAAAATGCAGGGATCTTTCTCACATGGGCAGTTTTTGATCAGCTTCCTCTTTTGTGCCACTTAAAGGAGGACAAGTGTCCCATGAGAATATATTGATTTGCATGTGACTGCACAATAAGCCTAAAAACAAGATAGAGTGAAGTTGGCTGAGACACTACTTGCTTCATAGCATTAAAATAATATTCTTCAGCTCAAAGGTGGCAAAAAATTCTTTACAAGTTTTATAAAAATCTTACATGCAGACATGAAAATATTTAGCCAATGAAATAAAACAATGTAAAACTCACTCTAGCAGAAAAATAACTGGTGTGTATGTAATTAAAATATAATGAAGATGCATTTATTTTTAAGAAGTATGATACTTATTCCTCCTTCCATAGGGAATAATAAACAAAGACCACAAAATCTTTGCTGACACTGTTTATAATGACAGTGCCTTGATACTAATACCAGGATTTCCAAGTCCTCTGGCCCTTGTGTTGCTGAATTAGGCCCCAAATATCTAAAAATAAGAAGCTAAAATGAAAACTACTTTCTAAGCACATCTGCAGTTAAGAGAGGAAAAAAAAACCAAAAAAACAACAGAAGATGAAGCACACCAAAATCTGAAAGTTAAGATTATCAGGATGTACTTAGAAGGGTGTATTGTTAAAACAAACCACCAAAGGTGTATGGTTTGCAACATCAACATACCGTGTCAAAAGGAAAGAGTAGCCAGGATATTTTGAAAATGCATAATGCTTCAGCAATGTGAGATTACCAACAGCTGCACAGAAATTAATTAGATTCAAGTTGCTGTAACTACTTAGGCTAATGATTAGACTGGTCTCCTCTTTGAGGAAGGGAAAATATAGCTGTTAAAATGAGAAAGCTTTGAGGCTATTAATTTTTATAATCTTTTCGGTTGAATTCACTATCACACTCTTTAATTTAAACAGATACACTGAAATTTTGACCTTGAAATTTTGACCTTCATCTCTTCCCTTTTAAAGAGGTCATACCTACTATTGCAAACTTCAAGACTGAGCACATTTGGAGTATTTCAAATCCTTCATAACCAGTTTTCCCCACTGAAAAGAACACAGAAATGTACATGTTACTCAATCTTTTCCAAAGTTCCATGTTTATCTTGCCATAAGCCATAAGAGATCTTTTTCTCTTCCCTTAGAGTGAATATTGAATTCAAAATTTGACAGAATGGATCCTGATCAACAAGTCCAACTTGTGTAGTACAGCACTAAGAGGCATGACACATATGATATAACATGGCAGAAATACTGTTGGCCAGAAGTTGGGGATAATGAAGTGTTTTGTAAGTAGTGTGAAATGATGAGAGACGTGGGCCCTTCTGGGGCTGGTAGTTGCTATGCACTGAGTCACTCCTTTACTTGGAAGCAAGAGCACCCAAGGAACATGTTCTTGCTATTGATAATCAAGTATTATCAATAAATAAAAGAATATGAAAAAGGCCTGAGCTAACCCATCCACATGTTCCCTCAAAAACAAACAGTAAAATATGGTATTACAATTGCCTCAGAGTCTGGGCTTGCTCCTATCAAAGTCAACTGCAAATATTCCACAGATTGCTGGCACCAGGACTGGATACTTCATGACTTTTTCCCTAGAGCACATTACAAACTTTTGATGCACAGAAGTACAGCTGGGATTCTAAGCTTTTAGGTGAGTTCTCTACAAGTGCACAATCTCTGGATGCACAATCAGTCCTCAGTGAATGACAACTTGTTTGTTGTTGCTGTTGGCTAAAATTTGATGCATTACATAAAGACAAACTCACCTTTCCCTCACATGCTGGAATATTAAGATTAGAGACTATAACAAGAGGCAAAAGGCTGTCTTTGTATTTTGTGTGGCCCTTCCCCTTTGAATCCAGGGAAGTGCATCACTGGCATAGGATATTTAGGGGATTCAGGAGGCCAGAATCTGCCAGGGAGCAGCATGGTGACATTCTTAAATGTTTCTCAAACATGACGCTACCTCTACTCTGTCTTATTATCCTCACTACCATTTTATGAGTCTTGTATTTCATGGACTGCAAGTATATGCAAAGATGGGAAGGGCTCCTCATATCTTCTTTTATACTGCAGAACTGGCAAGTGCAAACTGCTTCTTCCCATGGTAAAAAACAAAAAAGTTAATGAAAATTTTGATAATGATTGGAAGGCTCAGGAAATTTTTCACTGTAAAATAATCACCAAGACATCAATTAGGAAAAAATTCTTGCCCACTTGCCTGATTTTGCAGGAATACACGCTGTGTTTTCATGATTCCCGCATACCTCTGTGAGTCAGCTATTCCAAGACATCCTAGAGCCAGTGACATGTATTCAGGTGACATGTGCCAGCTGTGAGAGAGCACTCACCTTATAAAGCTCTGCTCATTGTAATGGTGGCACAACTAGGATTTTTACAAGGCAAACCAAGGCACTGAATTCAGGGTAGTGGACCAAAGTTAACAACTTATTGCAACCACGTATTAATAATAAGCTTCCTTCTCTTTAAAAAGAGAGTTCTCCACATTTCCCTGATTCATTTAAAAAGGAGAAAAAAACTGAAAAAGAAAATAAAAAAGCCTGGAGCCACAGGGAACATGGGAGGTAAGTGATGTGTTGACAACGGTAGCCTGCATAACAAAGACATTCTTGCTTCAGCATTAGAAATTTTGATAGTAGATGCAGCATAGCAGTTTATAAACAAGAGATTTGTATGTGTCTGAAAAAGACTTTCCAATCAACCTTCTTCCAGACAAGGCTGTATTGTGTTTATGGCTTTCTGGCAGTATTTGGTACTGAAATTAGGCATGTACCTTTTGGGTCATATGGGTGTTCTGTCTGTGGACATGTGCTTCATGTCCAAAAGAAACTGAAAGGGATAAATTCCATGACCATGAGCAATCAGGGTTGCTGGAATTTTATGGCCAAAACCGTATTCTGCTGAACTACAGAGAGCAATGTGGTGTAACCACTGCTGTGGAAATGTGCCAGCTGATTTCCAGAGGCCTTAGGCTCCAGTTTTAAATGGCAAGCCTCTTGGAAAGGAAACAGACCTTTACTCCTTCCATATGGCAGTGCTGATAGCTGTGTCATTTAATTTATCCTAGTTAAAACGTTAATGGTGTTAATTTTTCAGTGATGGCTCAGTTTAAAAAAAAAAAAAAAAAAAAAAAAAAAGTCCTGGTCAGAGAAGAGTTTTTTTGCTTTATATTGCTAGGAGCCTCCTGTTTAAAATCTGTTGGGAAAATATCTGGTCTATCAGTCATACATGTTTGTCTTGAGAGTTTCACAGTCTCTACACATTCTCAGTCTGAATGACTGAAAGGATTATGTTGCTTAGATTTCTTTAAGAAATATTAAAGAACAGGCTCAGTCAGTAACAGAGTTTGAAATGACTAATAGCTGAGGATGAGCCTGCCATGGTCTGGACTGTTTTACAATTCATGAGCCATTTTTGCCAAGAACTGATAAGAACAGAGGACAACTTCAGGACACTCAACTATCATGAAATCATTAAAAAAGCTGAAGTTTTTTTTCAGAGTTTTAACAAGCAGGTCACAGACACAGTGAAGTATCTAAATTTAAACATTTTGGCCTCAGTTTTAGAATTTTAAAATAATTTGCAACTACAGAAGTTTAGTGAGTGAAAAAAAAACCCACCTCAGATGTGCTGGACTATTAGATCAAATCACAGCTGAAAATTCACATTACAATATTATTTTAATTTGAAGAGTCTAGTTTGTGAAAATTAATCTTAGGGACAAAATTTATGAAGTACTTACTGACTGGTAGATTTGCCTACTACCAGTTTAATTTCATGGTGCTATCAACCCAATATGAAATAAAACCAGATTATCTGATCTGTGCATATGACTCGATTTACCTTTCAGGAAGGTGTTTGAAATGTGCTGTGTTTGGGAAACTTTCTGGGTTTTTTAGTATTTTCTGCATTTTTCTGTGAAGCAGATTGGTGGACTTGGCAGTGTTACAGTCAGACTCAATAATCCCACAGGTCTTTTCCAACCTAAATGGTTGCATGACTCCCTGACTGACCAAGAGCTCATTCTGGGAGCAAAGTGCTATGTGTCATGATGCTTCCACCGTGAGCCTGTCTGACAAGTGATAAGCTAACCTGTATTTCCTCTTCATTCCAGGCAGGATCTGCCTTTTTGACCCAGAGTTGGAATGTCCTGGGTCCGGCTTGCACAAGGTTATTATGTATCCATGTAATAAAACCTTCCTAGTTGTAACACAGCTTTCCAAGGGAAAAATTGGAAGGTTTGGTGCTTAAGACACTTAAAAGTAAGCAGAACAGAACACCACAAATTCTAAGTTAAAATTATTACTTCTGTATTTCAAAGTGCAACATCAGAGGAGGTAAGTTGCTTCCCTTTAAATCCAAGTTCTTGGAATTGTTTTCCTTCCACAATGCTTTGAAAGCAGAAAATTTTGAGAGAAGGGAATTACACAGGCTTATATTTCACCAGTTTGTTCCTTCTCCTTGGGCAGTGAAGGTACCATTAAGACTTCATTTCAAACATAAAGCACAGAGTATTGCTCTTCTCCCAGTTCATTCTCCAAAGACCCCACTGCTGATGGAGAACCTAAAAAGCAGCTGACGAAGAGCTGAGAGCTTACTGGGTATGGATTAGAGTGCCACATTTCTACTTTCTACCTAGCCTTACTCAGATTCAACAAATTATTTGCTCCATTTTCAGGAAGAGGAAATCTCAGATGTCCGATTTAAATTTGCCTTTAGCTAAAGGGTAGGCAACACAAACAATCCTAAGGTGACACACCTTCATTACTCAGACAAGGCCACCTCCTTCAGATTTAGTCCCAACTATTCATTCTCTCACACTGCTGGGTGCCATGGCAGGTGAGGAATCACCCACTTCACCTTTTTTCCCTTCCAAACGAGTACCACCATTTTACAATCACTGAGAGACTTCAGAGCTCTTTACAGAACAGTACTGGACTGGACAACACGTGCACAGAGAATAATTCCTACAACACTGAGAGGACTGGTTTGGGACTTACGCTGTCCATGCCACGTCTTTAACAAGGCACGCAGTGGGCACAAGAAACAAGCCAAACCAGAAGTATCCACATCTTAACACCATTCCAGCCTGTGAAGAAAACAAACAAATAACTCATGAGTATTTTCAAGCCATTACAGGTTAAGTGGTTAGGTAGAGTGATGGCATCAAACTAATACTGCATCCATGACCTGGGTGATGTTGAAATTTAATAATGGACCAATAATTTAACAAACAGCCAAGGCATTTTTCATTGCAATAATTCCTTGTGACTTCAAATTTCTTAAACATTTCTGAAAAAGCACATATTTTGACCAAATCCTCCAATGGTATTAAGTTGTGAAACCAGGCAGACATATTTTTAGTCATGGAGAAGAGCACCATAAGTATATTCTGCTTGCACTTTTGACTACCTTTTGTGCCCTTCGCTTACTCTTTCCATCTACTGTCTTAGACCTCTGAGCAGCATCAAAGTGACATAAAAAAAAAATACATTTCTCACTAAAATGTTTCAGTTGTATTCCACTTAAATACAGCACTTCCTGTTCAAGCTACTGCTGCCTGAAACCCAGGGTGGGAAAGATTCACTCCTGTCCTACAAATGGCTTTTTTTACAAACAAAGAGCTCTAAGTTTATATTTGCGTTCTTCTCATTGTTGTAATGCTTGAAGAAAAAGCTTGGAGGGATTTGAGAAGGAAGCTATCTGGAAACCTTACATATCCCAGCATACACAAATAGTTATGGAATGAAGTTGAAATATAGCACTATTTACAGAAATGCTATTCTAGCTCATTAGAACCTTTTGCAGATAAATTAATGGTGACTGAAGACCAGGTTTGCTACACAGAAGATCTGAGACAACCTCATCATCCCTTCCATGGAATACACGTGCTTCCCATCAGCATTGTTAAATACTGCTGCACATTAGAAAATACTTTTTTCCCCCTGTAGCCACTTGTGTGCACCACACAACTGAAACAGAGGCTGAAAGGTTTCAACAGCATTTCCAGTGTCTAGACAGATTTTGCTCTCTTACTGGTTATAGACACTACCATATCTCTTTCCCAAATTCTCAATATTCTCAGTATTTTTTATGCCACACACGCGCACCTGACATGTCAGCAGTGTAACACAGGCTTGGCTGGCTCAGCTTTGTCACACACTGCAGCACACAACCACTGCAAGCCTGCAGTGCTGAAGTGTCAGGACGTGGCACAGGCAAAGACAGAGCTGAGCTACAGAGGAAATGGAACTGCATCTACTAGCCTTTGAACACACTGGAGACAAAATTAGTCATTATACACCTCATAAGATGAAAATGATTGCTCACAACAGTAGACTTCTACCACTCACTACAGTAAAGCTCTTAAACTGAGAGAAGCCATCACAGAGCTCTGCCAGGATGTTCACCAGTAGCATCCAGCATCTTCTCCCAGTGTCAATCTCTATCTAAAGTTGTTCACCTAACAACTCAGTCATATTTAGCAGCAACTTGCCCTTGGGTTGCCCAGTAGTGAGTACATCCAAAAGCGGCTTTCACTTTTAAATGTTAACTCCTCCATGCCACTGCTGGACTGACGAATCAGTGGTAAATCTTGTACTGAAACCAAGAGCAAGCTAGACTGTGCCAAAACATTCACAGACACTTTGCCACCCACAGACAGTAAGCAAACACATTCCAGTCAAAGAATCAGCTCTTGGTTATTTGGGAGCCCTCATGCCTACATCCACATGAGAATGCCAGAAGCACACTGGCAGTTTTCATCTATGCTTATTTAAGGAAAAGGATGTACAGAAATAAGAGGGAATTAATAACTTTATTGTTAGCCAAAAAATTGAACCATAATAACAGTGGCAAAACATAATAAGATTTATCCTCATGCTTTGCTTTTCTTTGGCCTTGACCCTGCAAGTGCTGGCAGTCACAGAATCACATCAGCATTTCCACTCACTATCCTTCCTCTGCCTATGCTAATAAAGGCTAAAAAAGGGCCATAGTATTCTATATGCATTTTCTGGTATTTTTGATTGAAATATTTTACGTTCCATTTCTTGCTTTTCTAGCCGAAAGCAACTTGACACACTTTCAAAGTGCAGAACAATCTGAGTATGTGTTCTATAGAAGTTTAAATGCTATTGTTTTTGTAATAAATGCTGACATCTCAATCAATGGCTATGAATTTGGACATGTGGCATGTTGGAAAAAACCTCAAAGTCAAATACTTTTTGCCTGCAATTATGTATTTTACTCAAGTATTATTCTGTTCATAAACTTCACTATAACAGAAAAACTATTCATCTCATCAGAACCCTGTCAGACACTCATTTTACTACTGGCAAGGCTTTTTCCACACAATTCTCACCAAGGTTTTACTCCATTCCTCAGCTCATCTGGAACGTTTCTTTCCTGCTCATCTCTAGTTTCCTCTTGGAGTTACAGGACTGCTACACTTCAGGACAGTGAACTGGTCTGTCTTGCAGGCACAGCTCTGCCTCTGAACACAGCGTTCTCCCTGGCAGGATTACTCCCTCTTCTCACAGCATGGGAGCTCCTCCGCAGAGCATTCACAGCAAATCACCCAACGTGCTCTGGGGATGTCCATAGACAGCACTTCCAGGTTAGTCCCCAGATTGTAGGATAGAGAGCTGGGTTACGAGCAGAAGCTGCAGTAAGAACACCTAAATATCCCTACAATGCTTTTCTCACGCTTCCCAGCTGTTGCTGTGCTCTATTCCAATTGCTGAGCCAGTCATGACAACAGTGAAGACAGTACTGCAATACATCTTCAGTGAAATATGGCACTTCTATATCTAGTTCCTGTGAACACCACTCTTCAGCTATCAGTTATTATCCCAGGATAAAAAAAAGCAGAGATACTAAACAGGAACCACTACAATTTTAATTTTTTTTTTTTTGGTAAAGATCATCACACAAAGCAGGAGTAGAAATAGGTTGTTTTTTAAACAAATTCAAAATATTGACCATCTCTGCTATCACAGAGGCCCCATGATAGGTAACAAAGTAATTTTTGTTCTGTCTACAGATGTAAACGTTAGTGACTATCACATCCAAAGTGAATTACCAGAGACCATTAATCACATGGCATCCCCTAAAAACACTTGAGACTAATGCAAGTCCTCCTTCTGAGAACACTGCAACTTAAACTGTTGCTACCAGTAGACTGCCTTTCAAACACTGATTAATCTGCCACAGACAAAGCATTCATTGTAGAGAATTGATAACATTTGTTAAAAAGAAAGAATGGGAACAAGAAGAGAAAGAAAAAGAACTTAGTTCCAATTATTTCACAACTGAGAAGGAAATAATTTAGGTCCCAATGCCTTTAACCTCTTCTAAATAGCATTTGTAAGGGTGGACAATTTTTTTTTGTTTGTTTTAGTACCTTAAAAAAAAGTGATAGCAGTGACCATTCAGAATGACCAGGAAGATCATCTTTGTATTATTATTTTAGAAAGTGTAGGTTAAGGTGGGCTTTTATATTTGTTGGTTGGAGTTTAAGTTTTTCTTTCCTTATTTTAACTCAAGGACATGTTATGTACAAGCATATGAAATCGAGAATAGATTATTTTTTTAAAAAATCCTTAAGTTGCAATACAGTCTGGAATAATTTTCAAGCTCTTTTCTCCATTTTACTATTCTTAGTATGTAGATAAGCATCATTCCTAGTTGTACTGTTTCACCAATAGGTGGTGTCGCTATTGCCAACAACTTCCAAGGAGAACAAGACCAAAAGTGCCCAGGGATGGGAAGTCAATGTACACACTGTTCTGGTATTCTTATCACAGCATGGTTAGACAACTGGGGACCAGTAAATGATTCAGACAAAGCAAGCAAGGATCTCAATCATCTCATTCAAGAAAAGCAAGACAAAATTTAAATTCCTATTTTGAATAATGAAATTTTTTTATTATTTCATTTCCTCATATAACCACATAATTTGGACAAAAAATGGACAGCAAAAGTATAAGACCACGACGGAAACAGCTGGCTTTATATTTCCAGCACACAAAAAAAAAATTCCTGGAAGTGTGCCTGGAGCCTAATCACAGTTCTCTCCATCAGACATGGATAAGGACCCAGTAAGTCACTCAACTGCTGTTTCATACTCATTCAATTCCAGCTTTGTACACTAGGGATTCAAGTGCAACCTGCAGTGCAGGCACATCACTGGGTCCCCAGCAGTCCAATGTGGATGATAGTATGGCACTGGTGCATCTCAGTTGGCTGCTTTGAGGCACTTTGGCAGCACTTGGTAAAGGAGGAGAGGGAGAGGATGGCCACATTGATTATTGTGAGGGACTCGCACATGGTGACACACAAGAAATATTCACTGCCATCACTGAGGTACTCTTCATCTGGACTTCTCAGACACTGATGACACTTGTGTGCACTGCAAGTGCAGCTCTGGGAGCTTGGCCCTGCTGCTCCATCTGCTCTGCCTCAGTGCCCAAAGCAGGAAGCAGTGCACGCACTAACACTAATACACCTCAAAGCAGCCAACTGAGATGCACCAGGTGGACTCTCTGCCAGTATCCATTCTCCATCAATTCTAGACCAGTGGCTTGGTCTGAGCACACCACTTCAGAAGGGTGAGAGCTGGGGAAGCCCAGCTGGTCACTCTGCTCCCATCCCATGTTAGGCAATTCATGTCTGCTTTTCAGTCAGCTGAGGGCAGTTTCTGCAAAGCCTGCCTCAGCCCATCGATCTGAGGTGCTGTTCCTGGACCCTCAGCCACAGACATTTTCCCACTGGTGCTGCAGGCTTGCACAAACAGTCCTGCTCCACTTAAGTTCCAATGCCTCATCTGAAGGTATGAGATATGGACAAACCTACTACTCTCCTCGAGAAGTTCAAGCATTAACACTGGGACACATTATAGCAATGCTCTGAAAACTCATATTCCTGCAAAAGATGGCCTTTCATTTGCTCTATAGACTCAATAGGGCTAATTCAGACATTGCTTTAAATGTCTAGAAAATATTTTCAGTAGAAAGTAAAATAACGTCTACCCCAATCTTGAAATTATTGCACTTTTAGTGATGTTACAACTTCTACATCTTTGTTTAG